TGGTCAATTTCTTCAAGGTCCAACTGAGGCCTCCTCTCCTTCAGGAAGCCTTGCCAGGGGCCCCCAGCATCGGTTACCACCTCCCTTGGGCCCATAAGCGCCTGGTTCCCACTGCCCTCAGCGCTCAGCACATGCTGCCAGCCTCACTGGCCACTGCTTGGCCTTCCCATCTCAGTGGCAAGAACCTCATTCATACATTCAGTCAACATTTGTCAGACTTTCTGGGCCTGTGCTGGGGGCTGGGGATGCAGCCACGAAGGTGCACGGAGGCCCTGCTCCTGGTGGGAGACACGTTGCCAGGGGGATACAACCCAGTGATAAGAAATGGATGTGGGCCCAATTCTCCGTCAAGGTCACTTCTGCTTGGGGAAGGGAGGGGCACCAAGGGCTCAGCGCAGAGGTGGTGTCATTTGTTTCAGCCAGTGGGAGGGGGTGGTTGTTGTTCAGTTCCTCAGTTATGTCCGAGCCTTTGCCACCCCGTGGACTGCAGAACGCCAGACCTCCCTGTCCTTCACTATCTCCCGGAGTTTGCTTAAACTCATGTCCATTGGTTGGTGATGCCATCCAACCATCTCATTTTCTGTGGGAGGAGGAGAGAGAGCCAAAGCTTTCCAGACAGGGGACACGAAAAGGATGTCAAGGAGTAACCAGATGCATCAGCAGGGAGGGGGGGAAGCGAGAGCTCCAGGCCCAGGGCACAGCATGGGCAAAGGCCCAGAGGCATGAGGGCTCCCGGAACTGCAGGTGTCAGAGAGGCTGGAGGAAGGTACTCCATCAGCCTCCGATAAATGTCTGAACTGTCACCCCCTCCCCTGCACTAGGGTGTTCCCTCAGGTCAATGTCACCCAGATGGGCAGCTGGGGCCATTTCAACTGCTCCTACTCCTGCTCCTTCCTCCTGGCTCCAGAAGATCCCCTCTTCCCCCTCGTGGGGAGCCTTTTCCTGCGGGAGCTGACCAAAGAGTTCGGCACGGACCACATCTATGGGGCTGACACTTTCAACGAGATGCAGCCCCCGTCTTCGGAGCCCTCCTACCTGGCTGCAGCCACTGCTGCTGTCTACCAGGCCATGATCGCAGGTATGGTGCCAGCGGGAGGTGAGAAAGGAAGTCCCCCCGGGCCCTTGAGATGGAGGTGGCAGAGGTCAGGGGGGTGGGAGGAGGGATGGGGAATCATAACACCTCACTATGACACACAGCACTTTACCGTTTCCCAAGCACTTGTACACACACATCATCTCATTTAGTCAGGCTGTGGTTGACAGGTGAGCCGCGGAGCAGATACCCTGCTCCCTTGCCAGCCCTGCCACTTCCTGCCTGCGAGACTTGCAGAGCTTACCTCCCTCCCAGTGCCTTGGCTGCTTCATTTGCCAAAGGGGCTCACTCATAAATAGACTGATGCCCGGCCCAGAGTAAAGTGTCATTAAGTGCTGGCTATTGAAAATATTTTATTTGGTCTCTTCGTCCATGCTGAGGGCTTCACAGGTGGCACTAGTGGTAAAGAACCTGCCTGCTAATGCAGGAGACACAAGAGATACAGGTTCAATCCATGGGATGGGAAGATCCCCTGGAGGAAGGTGTGCATATCGTCTCCAGTATTCTTGCCTGGAGAATTCCATGAACAGAGGAGCCTGGAGGGCTACAGTCCACAGGGTTGCAAAGAGTTGGACACGACTGAGTGGCTTAACACACGCACACATCTGCATGCTGGTAGGCTAGAGGTTAGAGATGTGCCCAATCAATAAGGCGCCCTTCCTGGCACACAAATATGAACACAGCACTCCTCCCTGCCACTAACAGGGGAGGGCAGGAGAAGGGCCAGGTCAGGAATAGCTTGGAGAGGCCTCTGTGTCAGCTGGGAAGGGGCAGATTGGGGTGAATTGGCTCAAGCTTCCTTGAGCAGCCGTGCTCCAAGTGTGGTCTGGGACCAGCAGCGTCACCCCAGGGCCTGTTTGACTGCAGGTTCTTAATCTCCCCCATCTCCTGAATCAGAATGAGGGGGGCTGGGGCCCAGGCCTGTGGGTAATTCTGATGCTCCCTGAAGCTTTGCAGTACTCAACTGGTAGTCCCAGGGGGAAGGGTATGTGGAATATCCTGATGATGGGGGTGGGGGGGGATGATTTACAGGGAAATGATAGAGTATGATAGAGTCATTTAACTTCTCTGGACCTCTGTTTCTTCTGTAAAGTGGGGTGAATGCTCCCTGCCCCCTCTCTCCTCTCATCACCCTCCTGTCCTCTGCCCCACCACAGTGGACCCTGACGCCGTGTGGCTGCTCCAAGGCTGGCTCTTCCAGCACCAGCCTGAGTTCTGGGGGCCCGCCCAGGTGGCAGCTGTGCTGGGGGCCGTGCCCCGTGGCCGCCTCCTCGTTCTGGACCTGTTTGCTGAGAGCCAGCCCGTGTACGTCCGCACGGCCTCCTTCCAGGGCCAGCCCTTCATCTGGTGCATGCTGCATAACTTCGGGGGCAACCACGGCCTGTTCGGGGCCCTGGAGTCTGTGAACCGAGGCCCCACAACCGCCCATCATTTCCCCAACTCCACCATGGTAGGCACGGGCATGGCCCCTGAGGGCATCGGCCAGAACGAGGTGGTCTACGCCCTCATGGCCGAGCTGGGCTGGCGGAAGGACCCAGTGGCCGATTTGGGGGCCTGGGTGACCAGCTTTGCAGCGCGGCGGTACGGGGTCTCCCATGGGGATGCAGAGGCAGCGTGGCGGCTGCTGCTCCGGAGTGTCTACAACTGCTCGGGCGAGGAGTGCCGGGGACACAATCACAGCCCGCTGGTCAGGCGACCATCCCTACAGATGGTCACCACCGTCTGGTACAACCGATCAGATGTATTCGAAGCCTGGCGGCTACTGCTGGCAGCCACCCCCACCCTGGCCAGCAGCCCGACCTTCCGCTACGACCTGGTGGATGTGACCCGCCAGGCAGTCCAGGAGCTGGTCAGCTTGTACTACGAAGAGGTGAGAACCGCCTATCTGAAGAAGGAGCTGGTTCCCCTGACGAGGGCAGGCGGCATCCTGGCCTACGAACTCCTGCCTGCCCTTGACCAGGTGCTGGCCAGTGACTGTCACTTCCTGCTGGGCAGCTGGCTGGAGCAGGCCCGACTGGCGGCGGTCAGTGAGACTGAGGCCCGTTTCTATGAGCAGAACAGCCGCTACCAGCTGACTCTGTGGGGGCCACAGGGCAACATCCTGGACTATGCCAACAAGCAGCTGGCGGGACTGGTGGCTGACTACTACGCCCCCCGCTGGCGGCTCTTCTCAGAGACGCTGGTGGAGAGCCTGGTCCAGGGTGTCCCCTTCCAGCAGCACCAGTTCGACAGGAACGCCTTCCAGCTCGAACAGACCTTTGTTCTTGGCACAAAGAGTTATCCTAGCCAGCCTGAAGGAGACACGGTGGACCTGGTCAAGAAGCTCTTCCTCAAATATTACCCCCGGGCTGGCTCCTTCTGAAAATTCACCACCCTCAAGCCACCTTCTCCCCAGACTCCAAACCTGGGCAGGTTCCCAGGGCCTGGGGCTGGGCAGGTGTCACAGGAGCGCCACAGGCCTGAGTGAAGGAACTCACGCCCATGGGGTCAGGCACGGACTGTCTGGAGGGGCTGAGCTGCCTTCCTCCACATCCCAAATTTGGGATCAAAGTACTGTTTTAATACAACTTAATAAACTGGTAAATCACTTGGATGGGTGTGTCAGAATGTCAGTGCTGGACTTCCTTGAGGTCCAGTGGTGTTTCTACTGTAGGGAGTGCAGGTTCCATCCCTGGTCAGGGAACTAAGATCCCACATGCCATGTGGCACAGCAAAAAACAAAACAAAAACAAGAATGTCAATGCCATGACGCCGGGGAGGACTCGGGGCTGTGGCATGAACACTGATGAGGTCAGTTCTCCCTGCCCTCTCGCCTTGGCTTCCTCCGTGCTTTGTTTTTAGTTTTATTGGTCAAACATCCAGAATTGATTATATAAATCTTTCAAAATAATGAAATATCACAAGAATAGAATACAGCTCTAGTTGCACAAATACCTGACATGGAAACCATTTTTACAAATACTTATTTTTCTTATAAGAATACTTCAGAAAACAAGCCTCTATATAGCTTACAGCTAATTTTATGCAACTTTTTTTCCCCTTCAACTATCATTTCAGCTTTCTTATCACAGCACATCTGACAGGCCATCAACCAAATTATAATCAGCTGCTGCTTCTTTGTCTAGTATTTCCTGATCTGAAAGAATTCATGTATTCAGGCTAGAAGAGGTAATTAAAACATTCCTTCCAAATCTAACTTATATCAGGTTAATCACTGTACTTAGTGAAGAATCTTTGCATTTTTTGCTTAGGCTAGTCTGGCTAGTGTTCACCCCTGCTGTTTCAAGCAGAAGGGATAGTCTTTATATTCCTAAAAGTTTCTAAACTGCAAAAACAAAACCCTTTGAGCAACAGTTAAATACAAATATTTAGAAAGCTAAAACATTTACTAATGATGAGAAACAGAATACTTTTAAAATTTAAATAAATTTAAATATACTCAAATTTACATATACTTAAATAAAATTTTAATTTAAAAGTTTTAAATTTATTTGGCTGCACTGAGTCTTAGTTGTGACACGGAAGATCTTCAATCTTTAGTTCATAGATCTTCAGGCCTTTAGTCATAGCATGCAAACTCTTAGTTGTGGCATGTGGAATCTAGTTCCCTGACCAGGGATTGAACCCAGGCTCCCTTCATCGGAAGCAGGAGTCTTAGCCACTGGACCACCAGAGAAGACCACCCAAGAACACTTTTAGATTTGAGAACACTCCTAGTTGAAGAAGAAAGTGTAAGGACATGGCGTGCTCAGACGTGCTTAGTCAAGTCCAAATCTGCCATCCCATGGACCGTAGCCCCCCAGGCTCCTCTGTCCATGGGATTCTCCAGGCAACAATACTGGAGTGGGTTGCCATTTCCTCCTCCAGTGGATCTTCTCTACCCAAGGATCCAACATGCATCTCCTGCGTCTCCTGCATTGGCAGACACTGAGCCACCTGGGAATTTCAAAGGATGTGGCAGTGGTTTTTATATTGATAAAATATTGAAAAACTGAAAAGGTGAATCCCTTATATCAGTGGCATATCATTTCTAAAGTGCCAGGGCATACAGACTCTTAGAGACTGTGTGTAGCTGAACTATTTGACATTTTTCTGATGGTGTGACTTTTTCTTTTTTGGCTGTGCTGGGTCTATTGCTGTGTGACCTTTTCTCTAGTTTCGGTCAGTGGGGGTTATTCCCCAGTTCCAATGCACAGGCTCCTCACTGTAGTCACCTCTCGTTGCAGAGCCAGGATTCTAGGGCACATGAGCTCAGTAGTTGTGGCTCCCGGGCTTAGCTGCTCCAAGGCATGTGTGATCTTCCTGGATGAGGGATTGAACCCATGTCTCCTGCATTGGCAGGAGGATTCTTTACCACAGAGCCATCCAGGAAGCCCTGATGGTGTCACTTTGAAATAGTCTAATAAATACTCCTTTGTCTGGAACAAATAATCATTTAATTTAGGCCAGGGGAAAACTTACAGAATACAGACCACATTTCCCTGAAGAGACAGGACATCCCCAGGGGAAATATCTGGCATTTATTCCATTCTTTCTGTTACTGAAAAAATGTGTCTGGTTAACAAAAGCTTGTTATACTTTACATGTAGCTTAAATTAAAATCAAGAGCCTGGCAGCATTCTCCAGTCCAGTTTCTGAGTGGTCATCTCCAAGTATCCAATATTCTTAAAAGAACTCTTTGATCAGACCCTTGCCCAGTTAGAGATTTAACAGTACTTGGAGACTACAATATGTCCCCTTTCTCTGCTTTTTGATTTCTCTTTTCTCACCCTAATGTAACATGCTGCTACAGGTTTTTACCAAAATACCTGTTTGGTATTGTTTTGAAAATGGGTTATTCTGCATTACCAAAAGCCTTCCATCACATTAGAATGGGTCACATTAGCATCTAACTAGCACATGGCCACATCATCTCTGTGGCAGTGATTTTTGCCACTCAGCATAGTTCCTGTATCTGTCATGTTCTTGTCTCTCAAAACACCCTCTATTTAGTTGATCAGCTCATCTTCACTCATTGGTGCCTGTTCAGTCCCTTCCTCCTCCAAGGTTGGATCACAGCCCTCACCAGTCAAAGCCAGATCAGGCTGCTTCCTGGTTGACTCAGCCACCAGGCTTCCTCAGATTTAGTATCAACCCCTCATCTTTGACGCTTTCCAGGTGATGCGGTGGTAAAGGATCCACCTGCCAGTGCAGGAGACACAAGAGACCTGGGTTGGATCCCTGGGTCAAGAAGATCCCCTGGAGTAGGAAACGCAACCCACTCCTGGAGAATTCCATGGACAGAGGAGCCTGGCGGGCTACAGTCCACGGGGTGGCAAAGAGTCAGACGCCACTGAGCCGCTGAGCACACATTTACACGCCTGACCTTTCCACCGAGAAGGCCCTTCCAAAACACTTCCACAACCTCAGCTGGAAACTTTGGCAAAAAACTGTCCCTGTGGTACAGAGGCTTGCCAGGGCAAGATCTGCCCAGGGCACTCGGCGCCCACATGGGAGCTCATACCTCCTGTTTGCAAAACTTCACCCTCCCTCTGACTAACAACTTAAAGAAGGGGCTCTCTAAGCCAGGGGCCCTCTTCTCTGCCTTGACCTAGAGTAGGTTGGGGAGAGCAGGCCAGGGACCCACAGGAGGGCTCAGCCTTGAGATTGTGCTGCAGACATAACAAAGGGGTGGGGACCTCGGAGGGCAGGGGCGGAGCGAAGCAGGTAATATCCATCCTCGGAGACCAGAACCCAGCATTGCCGGGATCTCTCCCTGCGCACATCCCCATGGACCGCACCGTGGTACTCATCACCGGCTGTTCCTCCGGCATTGGCTTACACCTGGCCCTGCGACTGGCGTCCGACCCGTCCCAGAGCTTCAAAGGTACCTGATGGAACGGGGTGGTGGAGAGACGGGAGCAACTCCTTCCTGGCCTAAGGGGGCCTGAGTAAGGCTGAAAGACCGAAATTCAGAGCCTTGTCCTCTCCCTGAATCTCCAGTGTACGCCACGCTGAGGGACCTGGCGTCACAGGGCCCACTGCTGGAGGCCGCCCAGTCCCGAGGGTGCCCTCCCGGCTCCCTGGAGACGTTGCAGCTGGACGTGAGGGATGCAGATTCCATAGCCGCTGCCCAGGCACGCGTGACGGAGGGCCGCGTGGACGTGCTGGGTGAGCCTCCCCGCAAAACAAGCCCAAGAGCCTTCCTCAGTCTTTGTCCAGACCAAGATGTCCCGAGGCCCACGGAGCACGAGGGGACCGGCCGGAAGGAGGGCCGTGCGTGAGGCGGTGGGGTCGGGTCTCTCTCCCCGCAGTGTGTAACGCAGGCCGGGGCCTGGTGGGGCCGCTGGAGGCCCACAAGGAGGGCAGCGTGGACGCCGTGCTGGACGTGAACCTAATGGGGACCGTGCGGATGCTGCAGGCCTTTCTGCTGGACATGAAGCGCCGCCGCTCGGGACGCATATTGGTGACCGGGAGCGTAGGCGGCCTGATGGGTGAGTGGAACGCGCCAAGGGTCAGAGGCGCGCGAGGCGGGGGTGGCTCAGCCGGAGCGGTGGAGAGGAGGGTGTCCAATAAAAGGGGAGGGGCCTGGTGAGGCTGCCTCGGGCCCCTCCGGCGCCTCTCCCCGTGGACCCCCTCCCGGACGCGCCCCAGCGGACTCCTCTCCCTCCCAGCGCTTCCCTTCAACGCCGTTTACTGCGCCAGCAAGTTCGCGCTCGAGGGTTTATGCGAGAGTCTGGCGATTCTGCTGCAGCCCTTCGGGGTCCAGTGAGTCACCGCCCTGCCCCGGGGGCCCCCGACCCCTGACTTTGGGAACCCCAGCACCCCCATCTTGTTGGAACCGCTCTCGGGCATTCTCCCCAGTGCGGCTCCCGTTGGTTTGCGCTCGGCACAGTACGGGGCGCTCGGCACGCGTCCTCTCGTTCCACCTGTCCACCCTGCTGCTGAGGCGTCGGTATGGGGCAGCTCAGGCCCAGAGAGGTTCGGTGACTGACCCAAGGTCACACCGTTGTAAGTGACCCGGCCAGGTTGGCATTCTGACGCCAGAGCCTCTCTCACACCCTCCAAAGGATGTGGGGGCGCTTTTCCAGCTGTAAACCCGCTTTCAAATGCTCGCCGCCCGAGCCCCGCTCTGGCTCTCCCTGCTGGGCTTGCATCCGCCCGCTCTCACTCGCCGCTCTCTGGCCCGCAGCGTGAGCCTCATCGAATGCGGCCCAGTGCACACCCCCTTCCCCGAGAAGCTGGAGGGCGGCCTGGGCGGGATGCTGGACCGCGCGGACGCCGAGACCCGCGACCTCTTCTACCGCTACCGTCGCCACTGCGAGCGGGTCATACGCGAGGCGGGTCAGGACCCGGAGGAGGTGGTAGAGGTGAGCGCCGAGCGGGACTGCGGGAGCGGGGGCGGCCCCCGGGCTCCCCAGCCCAGCCCGGGCCAGCGCGCCTCCTCCCGCCGCTGCAGGTCTTCCTCCAGGCGCTGCGCGCCCCGCGCCCGGCCCTGCGCTACTTCACTACCGAACGGTTCCTGCCGCTGGTGCAGCTGCGCGTCTCCGACCCCAGCGGCTCCAGCTACGTCGCGGCTGCGCACCAGTCAGCGTTCCACGACAAGGCCGCCGAGGGCTCCGACGGCGCCGGGGCGGAGGCTGAAGCTGGTAAACTGGGGGCATCTGAGCTCCGCGCTCCTCTCTTCCCGCAATAAAAGGCCTAATCCGCCGCTGTCTCCCGCGCTCTCCTTTGCGGCCCCGGGGGGTGGGGTGCGTTTGGGGAACGGAAAGGGGCTTTGACTGGGCTGCACCTGCGCGACCACCGGCGCGCACAGTGGGTGGATGATCTCGAAAGACGGTGTTAGCCCGAGTGATACCTCCGGAAACCGAGGCCCAGAAAGGGAAAGAGCTAGCTCCAGGTCAGGCCTCAAGTTCGCCGAAGGGCAGGGGGAGCATTCCCTGTATTCTTGGCCTAGGGGTGTTTGCAGCCAGCGGAGTTAGGTGGACCTGGCGGGGGAGAGTTGGCTTGTGACGTGGCTCCCGAGAGTCACGGAACCTTAGGCAACGTTCTTACCCTCTCTGAGTCTCTTTTCTTACCTGAAAAATGGGTATGATACCTATGTGGGAGCTTCCCAGGTGGCGCAGTGGTAAAGAATCCGCCTGCTAATGCAGGAGACACTGGTTCGGTCCCTGTCAGGAAGATCTCCAGAAGTAGGAAATGACAAGCCGCTCCAGTATTCTTGTCCGGAGAATTGCATGGACAGAGGAGCCTGGAGGGCTACAATCCACTGAATCACAAAGAATCAGACACGACTGAGCACTGTAGACACACAAATACCATGGGTTGTGATAAGAATGAACTGAGATAGTGCCTGGAAGTGCTGGTATTAGAGGTCTTAATAGCAGGCACTGACTAACATTGTTACTACTAGGCGTGTTCCTGTTGTCATTGTGTTCCCCTGTAGAAGCCAGATGTGTAAAGAAACAAGCCTAAATGAGCCAAAAGGAGACAGCCCCACTCACCCCCTCCTTGCCTCCTGCCCGAGACAACACTCAACAGGAGAGATCCCTGTCTGGAGCCGCGGAGATGCACCCAGTCCATGACAAGGTCCTGGGATGAGAGAGGAACCTGCAAGGCAGCTCTTCCTCACATGGGGCTGCCCCGGGGGCCCAATATGTCCCCTCCGGAGCTGCCGGGATGAGAAAGGAACCTGCAAGGCAGCTCGTCCCCTCGAGGTTGTCCCAGGGGCCCTGTATGTCTTCTGTCTTACTGTTGTCGGGCTTTCTATTAATTTTTGGAAATATAATATATAATAATAAGGCCTCACTGGAAAAGTCCAAGCCTTTTTGGAACTGCTCATGATTGCTCTGACTCAGGACACGACCATAAACATCAAGTCAAAAAAGAAAAGGCCACAGGTATAGTTTGGCTGCTTGCTTAAAAGATTATAATGTTCTAGAATAGAAAAGAGTAGAGGTATTTGGATTTAGAAGTAGATATACTGCTTTAGTTTACTTGTTCCTTGGTGAAAGGGTTTTCATTATTGCTATTTCCTTGTTGCTATTTGTTCACTGTTTCTCTTTCTTTAAACAACATGGGATATTATGGGTATTTTTGTAAAATTAGAAAATGGAGTATATAGGATTTCAGTAGAAGATTTATATTACACTGACATTACCTCACTATTAATAGAGGTGTTTTGCTGCTTTAGAGGTGTTTTTGTTGTTTAATAGTTAATCACTATAAATTGAGATTTTGTGGTTTCAGGTAAAGAAAGGTTTTTCTCATGGTACTATTCTCAGAAAGGTCAAACATGTTACTCTGACCCTTCCCATGTACTGTTTTATTGTCCAAAGAATTTACACTATACCTGAGATTTGTGGAACATTGTTTTTGTTAGAGTGAGAATGTTAGGCCATTGAGGCAAGAAGACTATGTACGGGACATTTAAGTATAAACCCTATAATTGGAAACGTTCTAGATGAATGCATAGGGGGAAAACATGGGAAAAAAATATTGACGGAAGCACAAACCAATATCTGATGTAATTAGTGGTGACTTAAGGGGGAGGTAACGTTCATTCTATAAAAACTGAGCTATCCTAAAAAAAAAAAAAAACAAAAAAACTACCTCTTCTACACAACCTTCTCTGTGTCTGTCTGTCTGTCTGCCTTCCTCGCTGATGCCACTCATCCCTTGGGTACTCCTGGTCCTGCCGGGGCTGGACCTCAGCAGATCCCGACCCACGCAGAAGCTGACTCTCACCAGGAGGTCGAGCTGAGGCTGCAGGCCTGGCTGATCAGACCAATGGTCCATCCTCCTTCTGGAAACCAGCAAAAGGAGCTGGAGTGGCAGGAGCCACTGAAAGGGGTTGCAGGTTTGCAGAGACGATTGATTTCCTCTGAGGTTGGGTGCTGGAGGAGGGGTGGAGATCGAGATTAGATGGGGAGGCTGCAGACAGAGGAAGGTAGTAGGGGTGCCCCAGGAGGAGCTTAATAAAGAAGATACATTTGCAGGCTTGTCAGGTATGAATACACAGTCCTCTGGGTAACCGCACAGGTGCCTCCTTGCGAGGCAGCGATAATGTCCAGAGGCATCCTATTTTAGAGGGCAGCTTTCTCGTTAGAGACCTCAGGACGGGCTTTGTTGGTTATAATTTAAGGCTTGCTGGGTGCTGTCAGTAAGGGCATGTGTGTGTGCTGTACCTTTCCCCAGGCCAAAGGAGGGAACAAAGACTGCAGTCTAATGATTTGTGACAGTGAACGTAGAATGTGCTCACGTGGCCCTGAAGAGAAGACGGTGGCAGGTTTAGGTATTTGACCTGGTTGTGCATATCATACATATTGACCAAGGATGCAGCACTGTCAAGTGTGAGGACGGGGGCCTGGTGGGAGGTGCTGGATATGCCAGACCAGACCTTCATCTTCTCTCTCTTTCTCTCTTTTTTTGGCCATATGGCTTGTGGGATCTTAGCTCCCTGATCAGGGGTCAAACCTGCACCCCCAACAGTGAAAGAGCAGAGTCCTAGCCATGGGACCCCCAGGGAATTCCCACCTTCTTCCCTTTTTTAATGGTGCGTGGTCCACTCCAAGTAGAGGCTGTTTCAACAACCAACCCATCACTGGTTGGGAACTCCGATGGATGCCCCCTGACTCCTTTGGCAGTTGCTTTGAGCATTGTTTAGAACACAAAGGTCATGCTGTTACTGCATTAACCACGTCACTATATTTCAAGGGTAACTGGGTATTTTTGACAATAAGCCATCCCATCCAGGCTCTTCAGTGATTGCTTTTTCAATGCACCCAATCTGTTGTATCTACTGAAGGGTCAGTTTCTAGAGCTTGTACCCAGGCAGGGCATCAGCTTCCTGATTGCTAGGAGATGTCAGCGCCTTATGAGCCAGAAGAATGTGGATGATGGTGAGGACCATCTCAGGTTCTTGCAGACGAACACAAATGTCTTCACACATCTTGACCTTACCAGGGCTTATCCATCTCTCAGCTTCCCTTTGTCCAAGCCGTAGGGTAAACCCTTTTATTTATTTTTATAATCGCCCGAGTTTATTCACGTTTCACCAACTGTACAGGCAAGTGCATGTGTGTGTGTGCACACAAGTGCAATTCTTTTTTAAAATTAATTATTTTATTTTTGGTTGAGCTGGGTCTTCATTGCTGTGTGCAGACTTTCTCTACTTGTAGTGAGCAGGGGCTTCTCATTACAGTGGCTTCTCTTGCTGCGGAGGGGTTAATCCTTTAGAACAGTCCAACTGTTCTGCATTCAGCCCATTGGCTGCTGCAGTTCCTTCCTGTTTCCACCCAGATGATGTCATTGTTGGACTGAATAGCAGCTTTAGTCCAAGTGGGTGGGGTGCCCTGGTTAGACCCATCTGTATACCAGGCACCAGCGGGGACCCCTGCTCCCACCCCACCTCTCTACAAGCTGCAGGGGCCACTCCAGGTATAGAGGCATCTCCACATTCTTCAGGGCCAAGTAGCACTTGAATGTCTAGAGAAAGTGGGCTGGTAGACAAGGTACCCTTTTGTTGCAAATGGGCCACTTAGTTAATGTGGGGGTTGAACCATGGCAAAGGTGGGCTGATGGAACATAGTCTCAACCCTGCTCTTGACCAGAAGGGAAGTTCTTACCATGATAGACTATTCTTTTCATGAAAGGCTCTACCTGGTGGGGTGTTCTGTGTACACTGCAAAGAGGCTCTATGGGGGTGTATTGGGGTTTGTCCCCTCCCAGAGCTGGGACCAAAATCCTAGGGTGCTCTCGCCTTCTGTTGTCTCCGCCGCCATGTGTTCGGAGTCACAGATGCCTCTAACGCCAATGGTGTCCCCGCTGGGAGAGGCCCAGTGCTGTGATGTGTTTCACTGGTATCCCTGCTATCTCAAAGGCAGTTTGCTGCCCTGACCCCCTTTCTCTTTACCAGGTGGGGTAAGGGATGGAGGTACCAGGCCAGGTGGGGAATAAAAGTCCCCCCAAACCCCCAAATCCCCCACAAGGCTTGCACCTCTTTCATGTTCTTAGGGGTTGGACAGGCTTGTAACTTATCAATCACAGCTTCTGAGACACAAAACTTTACGGGGTTGCCTGGGCCTTGAATTTTCTGAGAGTTCACCACCCATCCTCTCCTCACTGATGTTCCAGCAACATCTGCAGAGGGTCCTAAAGCAGAGGCAAGTCTGCACATGTTAACATTATATCATCAATGTAATGGGCCGTTTTACTGATGTGGGGGAGGAGTATACGGACAAGTCCTGGGCTCCCATCTCACGAAACGTGGAGGAGCTGTGCACGTGACCATGGGGAAGCCCTTGAAAGGTCCATTGTCACTCCTCCCACATGAAGGGAAGCTGTGAAGCCAAGTGTAGACTGAAAAGAGCATTTGCTAAGCCCAGTACTACATGGTAGGTTCCTAAGACGGCAGGGGTGGCATTGTTGGGCACAGCCACGTGGATGGGGGCTTGTTCAACTCTCGTGGTCCACAGTCAGCTGCCATGAGCCATCTGGAACTGTACCATTTTAGCAACTGTACCAGGCTGATGAAAGCATTAAGGGCAGAGCGTGCCATTCCCATGCAGTGCAGTTCTAGAATAGTTTCTTCTGTATAATTCCTTAAGTCCCGCCCACTTGACAGTTACTATTCTTCCCCTAGGTTCCCAGTTGGTGTTGCTTCATCACTGGTTCCATTACTTTAACCCTGAGGCAGAATTCCCTGACAGAGGTTTGCAGAGTTTGACCTTGTAGGATACCAGTGCCCACTATGTTCCTTGTATTGGATATTTTCAGGGTGTGTGCAAGGGCAGGGAGAATGCCCAATTTGTTTTGTGAAAAGGACCTTCCTGATTGCAACCATTTGCCCTCTGTAATTCAGTGGTGCAGAGGGAGCCTGGAAAACTTCTGAGGGTGACTATGTGTTAGAGTATGTCTGGGGAATTCCACGGCAGTCCAGTGGTCAGGATTCCAGGCTTTCACTGCCATGGCCCAGGCTCAATCCCTGATTGGGAGACTAAGATTGCACAAACTGTGCAGCGTGGCCAACAAGGAAAAAGAAATTAGGGTATACTGGCTCCAGTATCCACTGAAGCTGTCCCCTTTTATTACTGGAAGATCAATCAGTGTTGAGCTACAACCAGTTGCCTCCAATGGGTCTCACGGGGAGGCAATCTTGGCCTGCATCCTATAACCTGGGCTGTGGGAGGCAGCCACCTTGAATAGGAGTTTTTCCAAGGCCTCTGCTGGGGTTGGCAGGGCAGTAGGGATTTAGGGGCAGGTAGGGCAGGTCTGAACAGTTGTTCAGGTTTTAAGGCTTTCCACAGGCCAACCAACACAGCACTGGACAGCCAGTTTATATTTTCCTGTGCAGTCCTGGCAGTAATGAGGTCAAACCACGTTGGCTTCCAGGTTACTTTTGCCAAACTCTTTACAGCCCTGCAGGATAGCATTCTGGCTTTTTGAGCTCCCTCTGTGTCTTGGGTCTTCCCTGCAGGCCAGTATATACCCATTCCTGGGATTTGTCAGCTTCTTCCAGATCAACACAGGTTGCCCAACATCATGAACTTCTTGTTCCACAACTGGGCTCAGCACAGATGTCACATCCTGTATACTGGTGATGGAGGCAGACTGGAGGATCCTGGCTTTCATTCCTGCAGTGAATTTGGCCCAATCAGCCCTTCAAATCTAGGAGCTGCCCCTCTTCTGTGGACATCCAGGGTCTCACATGCCCAAGGAGACCCCCCCCCAACATTGGGACAAGCCTTCCTGCAGGCTA